GGGGGGGGGGGGGGGGGGGTCGGTGAGAGCGCGTGAAATTTCGACTGACAAGGACTGTACGCGCTTCTTTGGCCCCGCGAATCGACACACTTGTTGCCGACTGTGGAATAAATTTCCTCTTTAAATGATAAGTACCCGTGAAACGCGACTTACAAAGTCGCTTCCATGTAAGGCAGTGCGCGATTTGAAGCGTCGCGGCCCATGCGCAGGCGCCTTTTTTTTAAAACTCTCTTACGTAACATTACTGCCTTGCAGTTACGAATACTTACGCTACTCTCGGCGTTACATTGGATGTACTGGCTCGTGTGTGCTTGGAGTTACGCCAACTTTATTTCTCCAAGAAAGTATTACACGAGGAATACTTGACGCTGTTTTATCTACAGGAAATTCAATCTGCGGATACTGATGCTGCTGCAGGGCACGGATTAGGATTGAATTTGGTTTGGTCCTTCGTGGAAGAGACGTATCCGCGAAGGGTCTGGAAATGGGCTAAGGGAATCCGCAATGTAAAAAGGGTCCTTTTGTGGTCGCGTAGTTGCGCAATATAAATAAATGGCGGCACTCTGCGGAGGTTTGGCCAGGCTTTTGGATCTTAGCCAAAAGGAATTTTTTGGCCCGTAGACGAGCTCCGAAGAAAAGAACGTGCTGCAATTTTTCTCACTACCGCCGACAGCTGCGTGCGCGTGCAATTTGCATGCTAAACAAAAATGCAGTTCCGCTTCGGTTTGGACCACCCGAAATATTAGCTCTACGAAATATTAAAATTTCCTACGTTAACAAATTGTACGCTGTAAAGACGATGAGTGTGAGTCAAACGTAATACATGATTTGTCATGAAATTTACAGGAAATTCAAAATCAGCAACCCTCAGGACGAATCGACCAAGGGGAAAGGGAGAAACCCACAGCGAAGTCCCTCGTTAAATTCACAAGCCGCACGTCGAGGGAAACCCTCTCGAAATTCTATCACGGTTTCCACGCGTGGTAAAAGCGATATAGTCGCTTTCGGGAAACGTCACAGTTCGACATCCCTCACAGAATGTGTAATAGTCAGGAGCACGAAGCGACAGACGTCCCGTGTCGTCTTCCTCGATGACGCATCCACATGTGGATACACGAGTGGATCTTCGGTGTCGAGTCCTGCGTATAATCCAGGCAGCAAGCGGTGGTTATAACCCACGTTATGTTTACTGCTTACAGGCACAGAGGCCTTTGGCCGCCGTCGCGACGCTCCAAAGGGAACTGGTTCGCCCACTAAGAGTTTCACCTTCGAAGGGCTTTAAGAGCTAAGAATTCCTTCTAGCATAGGAAGATCGGTCCACGATCTTGGTTCGTCTTGCTCGTGCAACCGAGCCAGCTAACTAGCATCGGATCAAGGAGACACTTGGACCAATCCTGATGCTGCCGATACTCCGGTCTATCGGTGCTAACTGAGAAACAACATCCAGCAGAGATCGACCTTCCTCCTTCTCTGAGTCAATTGATAAAGCCGCCTCTTCATAACGATCGATCGTCAAGCTGCTCCATCCAGCATAAGCAGGAGCTATAGCTACTCGAAACACGTGCATCGCACCTACCGTCAGGTGCAGCTTTTACTTTTACGTGCTCGTAAAAGGATTGGGTACAATTAGCGATCGCGCAAAATGGTTCTCGGCGTCTGAACGTGGGTCGTTCTCAATGAGGGTTCGCCCTTAGCTTGGACCCTCCTTACAATCGAGAGAAATTAGCGTGCTCGCTGGATCTAAGTGAGCGACGACACGAGGAAAGACCAATCGGGAAACCAAGGAAAAGTTAGAATGAGAGATGCCTATGGTTTCCGTGTGGTCCAGCGCAGCGTCCGGGTTTGATCGCAGAGGTCAATGAACTCGAGTTCGTCGGTCATACGGAGTTTCTGGTTGCGCACTTGTCTCCCGAGCGATTCCCTTATTTGGATTATCTTGAGGCAAGACGGCAGCTCTTTCTCCTTCTTTCTCTTTCTTTCTCTTTCTTTCTCTCTGGCTTCCTGCTACTTCTACCGTATTGCGCCTCGCGTCCGCAAGAAGCAAGGTGGCCGTCGCGGCGCACACGTGAGAGAGCGCGGAATTTATTATATAACTCGGTGCCTCCGTGCACGTTCGCTCCGTGCGACTCCTCTGCGGGATGCCGCCGTTTCTTCGGGATCCTTTGCTCCTCTCTCTCTCTCTCTCTCTCTCTCTCTCTCAATGTCCTTTTCGCGAGGTGAACGATTTCCGCGAATAAATGGCATATCGCGTGTCTGGCATGCGTCGCTTGTGCCGCAGGCTAGAGAGACGAGATCAGAGGAGACGGAGAGAAAAGATGCTCGAAATGGGAGATAATTAAGGAACAATTACTTTCTCAGAATCAGATCATTCCTCGGTAAAGGCTCGGTGCCTCGCGGAGGCTGTGCGACGTCTCTTCATCTCAGCTATGGATGCACGTATCTTGTATAGCTGAACATCCAGATAGCATTTCTGAAGGTGCACGATGAGATCGTATAAGAATTGCGAATACAGTAGATAAAATGGCGGGCAACCTGGTAGTGGCAGAATCGTGTTTCGTCGAGGTATTCGTTATCGGATCGTCCTTCGAGAGGATCACGTCGCACCAGGCATGAAGGATGACTCGAGTTTGCCTGAACAGCGGATCGTGATCATCGGCTTTTTCTTGCGGATTCGCCATCTCTTATTTTTTATCCTCCTCCACCCCCCTCGCAACCTCACTGCAAATACCGGCTCTCTCTCTCTCTCTCTCTCTCTCTCTCTGTTACTCGATTCTCCGACGGCGGAGGTGGTCCAGGGACGCAGTCGTCCGGTTCGTGCACACCGGGGAACAAGTATCCTTGTGAATTACCGAGCACGTCAATCCTCTGGACCACGACGGACAATGTACAGGGTGTCCCCATTTGGACGGTACGACCGTTCGAGAAGGAGCTACCTGCTTCGAGTGTCGATTCGATCGACTCTCTTCAAACCTAAATGCTCCGGAAGCAGCATCCTCTGGACCACATCCTCCCCCCTTGGAAAAATCCCACAAAGAGATTCCGGGGTAAGCACTTGCCAATAAAAAGCGGCCCTGGAGCAGTGCGCGTGCACACGTGGCGGAGCCCTCGGCAATGTGGCGCAATCTAATTAATGAACGAGGACGGGGTGTGTTCACCCTCGGACGGTCCGGTTCAACCCTTTTTTATATTCTCAAACGAGTTCAGCTCCCTCCCTGCTCGCCCCTGGCTTTTGCATACAGGACCCGAAGCAGCTGACCATTTCGCTTTGGGGGTTGCTCCTGCTCCTGCTCCTGTAGCTACTGGAGCTACTCCAACCCTCATTCCCAACAGGGTAGGTAGCTACGAGCAGATTAAAAAGAGCGCAGAAAGATAAAACCGGATGGCAGATGCGATGTTTTATGATCGAGCTCTCTCAGAGTCCGATGCTGGCTCCACGCCCTAGCATATCTATATATTGTTGTCCCGTGCGGATTACAGTCGCGTTGTCATTGGTCAGGAAAAGCACACGAGTGCATACGTGTGTTTCTGCTGTATTTATCGAGGGAGGCGAACAAAAATTCGTTAAATCTTTCTCTTATATCATCTCCCTCCTCTCCCTCCCTTCCCTCCCACCCCCCTTCTCGCCACTCACGAATCACTCTCGCGGGACCTATAGGAGCTCTCAGCAAAGTTTATAAATATTCTACGGGACTTTCGTTCGCGACAGCCCAGATAGCCCAGATAGCCCAGATAGCCCGGATAGCCTAGGCAGACTCTTCTCTCGGTTCTCTCGGTTCTCGCATGACTATACTTCTTCGGTCCATGGCACGTATGTATAAGGCATAAGGGTCCACCGTACATGGCCGTGCACTTATGAGAGCCACGACGCTCTCTTAGTCTTACGACTTGAAGCTCGCGGTTACAGCGTCCCTTGCGCAATGCTTTTACGCCCCTTTTACGCCCGTAGCCACGCAATCCAGGTAGGTATGCTAATATGGGACCGTGACTCGTAGCGACAGCGTATACCAAAACGCACACACGTCCTTATAACGTCCCATACGATTAGACAGCATTTTTTAAATCCTATAAAAATTATTAAAACGGCTACCAACGTTAACAAAATGAAATGCACCAAAGTACTCGGGTGTCATTCGTACATTACGTTGCTGCCATTAAATACAAACTGTCAATATTCCAGCAAAATTATCCCAAGGATATAATCACCCCGAAGAAGACACGTGAGTGCGCTCGTCGCATCAGCGTTCAGCCGTTCTTTTCCGTCCGGAAAGCAGAGACTGGCAGGTGCCTCGTGACACGACAATAATGTATCTACTTTAGAGCTCGTAAAGCGCGAGTCGCGTCTGTCCCAGGGTCGTGAGGCTTGCGAGAGGAAGAAGAAGAAGAAGAAAAAGGCGCAAGGAAGGAAGAAAAGGAAGAAAGAGTGTCTGTTGTAGCACGGAGTGAAAACGCAACGTAAACCAAATGAAAGTGCTTGCGCTCTCGTGGGCTGTGACAACAAACCTCTTGGCTTTCTTTAAATAAACTCAATTAGAGTATCGGGAGGTAAATTGTAGACTGCGCGTATGTCCAATGTTAAACAGTCTTATAACGTACGATATATATATAACAGATATTGGATACAATATATCAGACTGTATATATTAATGTGTCGGAAGAGCGACAGGACATACGAGCCGAATAATTCCGAAAGAGAGGAGGAGGCCGGTCTTCTTGGAAATAATATTTGACATATGACTATACGCGTATCCGTGTATCCACGTGCGTATATATAAAACCGATGCACTCACGGACTGTTTAACTGGAAAGAAATCGCTCGACGAGGCTTCTCAAGTTCCACGTAGAAAATCCACTGCTGATACAGTGAATTCGACCTATTTCATTCTCGCTCGGGTCTACGTCACGTCCGGCTTCTTTATCGCGATGGCATCGGTGTAGTCAGCTGATTTTTTTTCTTCTTCTATTTCTTAGCAAACGCGTGCACAGGAGGTGCGAGCTTTCAAATTTTTTATACAAAATTAGAATCGATTGTATAACATATGTAGTATGTATGTATACTATGTATATGAATCGATATCCGGAATGCTTGTATACTCGAAGACTCAAAAGAACGCCGGCTCGTTATGCGTCACGTTGATTTGTTTTTAAGTATAAATTAATCGTAAGAGGATCCTTCGTATAAAGTATCGTTTTACGGCATTTAATCCTTCGGCTTCGTGTTGCCACTTCGGGAAGTTGTTCGTGGAAGGAAGGACTCCGCTTAAAATCACGAGAGTAGGTGGGAAGGGTCGCCTCCCGTGCGTTGGTCTTATCAGGAATTTCAAGGTAAGAGGATTAAAATTAAGAGGGCCACCTCTGAGCATTGAGGATTTCGTAATTTAAGCCTCGCCGGATGAACTTGAAATGAATACCGGAAGGGGGTCAATCAGCGAGACGGTGCAAATGGAGTCTTGATAAATTCATGCCTATATGCTGATCTACATATAGTAGAATAACGATTATATATATATATATATATATATATTTTTCTTTTGTTCCGTTATAGGTTCTTTGCTCTATGAACTTGCTGCGCCGAAGGCTACTGAACTTTAAGCATCGCGCATCCCAAGGGCTGCTGCAGGTAGGCAGGTACTTGCCAATCCTGTCATGATGTCACGTCCATTCAGTATATAAGGTATTGGAATTATGGCAATGACTGGTGGTACCTTCTGCAGACCAGTTCTCGAGAAACTTCGTAAAAAAGACTTGACCGCTCTTCACGATTCTTCTCCCATGGATTCTGTAGAGTCCTTCGAAATACCGCAACAGGAGGACATCTAGTTCTTCATGGACCGCAGCATCTTGCACGAGATGAAGCTGAACGATGCTGAACTTGTTACCGGAATGGATTTGTGCTCGAGATGGGATCTGGTCTTTATGGATGATTCGCAATAGACAGGATCGCAGTCTTGTGGTAATTAAAAATTTTAATTAAACCCAGAGATGAATTATACCATGAGCATTAATTTCAGACGAGAAATTCATCTCACGTTAACTCAAGGAAGATTGGTCCTTGTTTGCAGCTGGTAATCCTTCAGTGTTTCAATTTGATCAGTCAAACCCCGCTAGACGTTGCGTCCCTATGTTGGAGTCAGCACGGAAGAAAAAGGCCACGTGAAACAAGAAGAATAAGAGGAGGAAGAGGAAGAAGAAAAATAAGGAGAGAGGAGTTCGCCGCGTCTAGGCACCATCGGGATCCCAAGGAGCTGGAGTGGAATACGAAAATACGAGAATACGGGAATACAGGATGCAAGAACCCTGGGAGCCGCTTGCATCGTACGTGCCTTGTAATCGAGAGACAACATGCTCGTTGTCGCGTATCGTATACATGGAAACTACGGCATATACGTGTACACCATAAGTGTAGATGCACACATTCCAACGTGGTGGTGGATGCAGTCTGTTTATGGAACACGGGGTGGTCAAGGCATACGAATTATTTCGATATACATAAATTAATCCAAAAGCATTTCTGACCCAGAGTAGTCTTACTGCGAAGCCACCCTACCTATATATATGTATTTCAAATATAGTAGTGTAGCGTAGGCTTGTAGTGTAGCGATCGTATACCATGCGTGTGTACCGTATGAATATATATAGTAACATGAATGTTATTATTATTCGGTGACAAGAAATGTATCTTTCTCTCGTGCGGTTTCAAATTGCCAAATTATCGTTGGACGAATCGATTTCGCGGTTAACAAACCCCGCAGCGGTTTTCGATGACGGAAGAGGGAATATCCCGTGGGAGCGTCTATTCCGGAAACGGAAACAGTTGGAGAGCTTCCCGATGGAAACAAGAGACAACAATGTTGTGTACCTGGTATATTATTGCCGGCGCGTTCCTACGACTTTTCGCGCAGCCTGCCTCTCTAGACGTTAATTATTAATTAACAGGATGCCTCTAAAAGAAATGTGCTTCCCCGTTAGTTGGCTTCGTTATGCGGAATTCGCATCGTAGACGATCGCGCCTCTTATTCAGCCCCTCGTGCGTACCGGATTCGCTGCACCGCAAGGTTACACGCACGCGTCTCATTTTACTTTTATTTATCATCTTTATTGCTCGCCTTCGCAGCATTCTATGTCTTGTTCCTTGATCTACCCTGCCCCCTTTATTTCCAAAGGAATAAAATCCTCGAAGGATGACTCCCCTCCCGGAAAGTGGAGAACCGCGGGCTGTTTGTTTCCATATTGATGATCATCCTGGTCCATCGCGTTACGACGTCAACGTCGTGTCCACGTAGCCGTTAACGTAGGTTGGAAATAAGTTTTGAGAATTACGTGAGCCGCAAGGAGAAAGGGGACGAGAGACATTAGCCCCAAGGGAAACTTCCCCGTAAACGCTAATAATCCGATACAACAACCCCTTGGCGATAATGTAATATCAGCTAGCGGAAGGGTGGAACTCGCAGGCGCGAACGTTTACATGGTCCAGATTAATGGATTAACTAATAATCTTGGACGTGTTCATGAATAATTCCTTAACCACCCTTTGCTGAGTTTGTTTTTCCGCGCAGTAGCCCTTATCGCGAGATCGTCGCACGAGATTCGTATCTAGTAAAATTCAACCCTTGTTAATACCGAGTGTCAAGGACGAGCTCAGAAATTTTTGCCGAGAAAAGGGATACCCAGCTTGGGTGCTCTGTTACTAAAATACACTATAGTATCGTCTGATGTACGGAACATGTGACACGACGTCGTATAAATTACAGTGAAGCCCAGTGATAAATATTCCAGGCACTATGCCAAAAGGGCTTTACCCGGCCTGTGAGGATGGTTCAAACCGTCGCTTATGGAAGTTTCACACCAGACACAGTATTAATAATCCGATTGTCAATAGATGTTGGATAAGACGTTGTTTACCGCATTGACAAATTTCATTAACTCCACGTCGCATTAATTCACGTTAAAATCAATGTACTACCTACTAGGCGTTTTAGTAGCACTCAAAGATGATTCATTTCACATGGTCCTTTCGAGTGACCTTTACCCAACACTCGTCACTGACCATCTCGAGACTTTTTGACGTGCAGACACCATACGTCTGTCTGGATGTCGTCCAACGCTGTATTTTGGTACAGCTGGAGACCAAAATGCTAGACCGACTGGCCTTCTGGGCAGTGCTAGCCGTCTATTTCCTAGCCGTCTATTCGTAGATAGAGACGCGTCTAACATTAGAAGCAAAGTGATCCACGAAAATATCCTGCTCTATCTTGGGCGACAATAAAGTAGAAAACATTCAGGATGAATTATGTTATTTTCATGCGAACGAATTTGTAAAGGGATTAGTCACGATTAAAGCGGGCGCAACCCTTTTAGCGGGCCCGAAAATCGATGCTGATTTATAATCGTGGCGGATTATCGGAATAATATATTTTCTTGTAAAATTGCGAAAAAAAACGTGAAAAAGTATCGAGAGCACAGACTGTTTCGATTTTCGCAAAGCATATGCTGCATGCGGGCGATACATGTCGCTACGCTATTGTACATGGGAGTGACTGCTAAAAGCATCCCCTACGTTTACTAATGCGAGTATTTATCTACTTTCAGATGTGCTTCGGCCAATAATCGGATTTATCAAATCCCATCTCTCCCCCGATTCAGGGATGATTATCGGAAACGTCAATTCTCCAGCAATTCATTATGTAATCGTGATGCATGCTGGTTCCATCTGGTCTCTACTAGGTATGTTTTTAAGCTTTGACCATTTATTTTGAAGCATCGAAAGGCACTGTAGCGTTTCGGTTACCTGCGCGAGCAAGGCACTTCCCTCCGATAAGCACATCCTGATAAGACCCGTATAGCTACACAAGTTTCAGCGATAAGATTAAACCAAAACGGGATTTTCACCTTTTAGGAATATCGAACGCGAACGTCCGTTGAAAAATTCCTGAATTAATGTCACAGTTTTATTTTGATTATCGAGCAACTAATCGACCGTGTCCCCGATTGAAAAATAGTAACACGAGTTCCTTGTAATCTTATCTATCTGTGTAATCATATTGCCTTATCAATAATATTTATTAAATATGAGTACTCTAACCAGGACGCTGATAAAATTTAAATTAATATACATATATACAAATCATTCTTCACTCAACTAACTGATAAGACTTTGATATCGTTGTAAGTCAAGATTATATCCATGTTAGCCACGCTGACCATCTTTGACATGCTTCCCTGCTATACAACTCCCAGTCTTCCTCCCTAAGAACTTTATCCAATCTCTCGCCTGTTTTCAGCAGCAGCAGCAGCAGCAGCATCCTGGTCACGGACGACGTTACGTCGCATCCACGAGGCAGCTTTGGCATTTTTCCCGAGGCCATGGTAAATTGCATCTATCAAGACTGCATCGAGCCAGGAACGTTAAGACGAAAGTGAAAGGAGGAAAGACTCAGGAGATGGTCAAAACGAAGGACCGACACCCAGTACCTTGAGGTATCCACACTAAACTCGGTTACATTGATAAACCACAAAGCGACCTTATATCAGGCATTAAGAAAGTAGCAAATAAAAATATGAGAAATTCACAGCGTCTCCTACCAACGAAGCAATACGTTTTGTTTTAGGATCAAATTATAACGGATCATCAGCACTTAGGCGACTCAGCGAATTTCACAGTTCACGGCGAAGCCCAAGAAATGGCTGCTGCATTGCAAGTACAAAGAGGAACACAAGAGTATGAATGACAGGAGAATAAAAAAATTGAAAGGATCGCCATATGGAGCCTGTCGAAGGATTTTCAGGCAGGAGATGATTTCGTTGCATAATTCTCCGGACATTCAACGTCAATTTACGTCCTTTCATCTACGGTTGCACTCGAACCGCAACATCATTTTCGCCTGGCAATACAAGAGCGCCCGTTCAATGTCGAACGATCTAACATCTGTCCGTGTTTTGCTACCTGGCCGGTGAGTTCGCATTATGTCGGAGCACAAGCCATAATAAAACGTGCTATAGTACGATGCAGCATGGCGTACGGCATGGATATATATGCACATAATGCACGTATCCGTCGCACGCTGCGCCCATGCGATTCTACAATGAGCCATTTCCCTCTCTCTCTTTCTCTTTTCTCTTTTCTCTTTTTAATATTCTTTCATTCTCTTTCCAGTGACGGAGCATTGGCGAGAGGAACATCCGTCGACAGTTAACCCCATCGAAGGCTCCAATGACTTCCGCGTCACACGTGAGATTAGAAATAATGTTCTATAAAATGCTCGCAGTCGATGCACTTTACCCGGGTGCACTGGCGGTGATCTACAATATTTCATAGAAAATGCATCTTGCGATCGACTAAATAGGGAAACGTGGATGCGAGTATCGAAGATTTCCCATATACTTTCTATCTTCGCCCAGTCTCCGGGCGTTGCGTCTTTTCGTGGATGCGCGCCTTTAACTCGCAAAGCGCTAAGGGCAACGGCCAGATAAATTTAAACCGAGCTTCTATCAGAGATGGAATTCGTTCAGAGGATTCATGGGGAATTTTCCCTAAGACTTATACGTGCACCACTTCATTACGGTATGGGCGTCCCATAGTCATTTTTTTCAAGAATTACAAAAGCTACGAGTAGTTGGAAAACTAAGTGCACCGAGGGACGTGCTGGTGCAGTTACGCTGCACCCTCGGTACACTCAAGTATCTATCATCCGGAACCCTCGTGCGGAACGGGGTAGTTCAAATTGGAGACCAACTGTAAAATCAAAATTATGCACGTGTTCACCGCAGTCAGGCAACCGGTGGGTCGGTGCATAATATGGTGCTCAGCATAATAATAATATTAACACATGCTACTCATGTGCAGAAGATAACACTTGATAAATAGAGAATGCCCCGCATCGCACTTAACCATGTGTGCAGTGCATGCGATTGAAATTTATTTAAAATCTCCAAGCGATCCCCGTGGGTCGCTGCAATGTGGCGGCTTAATCGCCTATCGGAAGATCGCTGTTCAGTTTCGCCCGTGCGAAACTAGGTCCCTGCACGCGCGTTGCGCGCAAAGTAACCGCGATGACAATGGAATCGGACGAAAAAGAAAAGGAATCTTTCGCCTGCTTCGAATCGATCGGTGTTCACGTGTGGCGCGCGGCGTGCGTGATCGTCGTTGAAATAACGTAAAAGCCACAACAGACAGAGTCCAGTGCACCTCGGGTAATCCGGGTTGCGCATAAGTGGGCTGCCTCGCCTAATCGGCTGACAATCATCGAAATCATCCAGTCGACGAGATTCAGGGTATGCACATGGTAGGTGCATAATAAGTGCATAGTAGGTGCATAGTTCAAACACTACTGTCCCTATTTGTGCTGTATCCGACTATGGCGACTATGGCGACTATGGGGACTATGGGGACTGTAGCGGCTATAGCCGATATATGTAGGCATGGTCGGCTGGCATGTGGGCTTGGAAATGCGAAGAGTTACGGCTCGGTGGTTTGCCGACAGAAGGGGTGGAAACATCGCTGAGGGTAATTCACCCCTGCTGTCTCCCACCTTCCTCTTCGATGGGAATAACCGAGTTTAACCGTTCGTGTTTCGAGATTGCAGTCACGTAGAAATATTTCAGAGCACATCGCGAATTGCAAATCCGAGACTAGTTCGCTAGGACGTGCACGTCACGCAGCTGCAGCCATATTGCTTTCTGCACGTATGACGTATGGCGCGACTTTATTATTTATAGACAATTTTCCGAGACGTTTTGAATTGACTTTTTTTTCT